ACGAAGCGACGTTTTCCTCGAGAAGCGCAACATGCACGACATCCATCGCAACGCCTTGTCAGCATCTTCCTCCGCCAGCTCGAGTATTTCCAGGGCATTTTATTCCTCACGACAAACCGTGTCGAGGTATGTCGATGAGCCCTGTAGTTCATCCTTCTCATGACTGACGGCCGCAGACATTCGATGATGCATTCCAGTCGCGCATTCACGTTGCTCTTCGGTATGACAAGCTCTCCGTGAAGGCAAAGCGCGCTATCTTCCAGATATTTATCGAGCGTGCACGTACCATCGATAAAGTGGGAGCTACTGCTTTCACTGATGAAGACTATGATTACTTGACCAAATTCGACCTCAACGGACGCCAGATCAAGAATACGATCCGCACCGCACAGGCTTTGGCGACGAACAAGATGGAGGCGCTCAGCATGCTACATATCAAAGACGTGCTAGAAGTGCAACGGTCTTTTGAGCAGGACCTCAAGGGTGGAACTGGCTACGAGGACGCCATGAGAGCGTACCAGTAGTAACCTCGTCACGGGGCTCACTTGGCCTGGGAATGTGGATCCCAATGTGTGTCCTACCTGTCGCATGGATGCAACCGTAGCTAAGATTGGAGTTTCACTGTGGCTTCTTCGAAGATTATGGGTCCGGGGAATATTCTCAAGCGTCGTCTGCCCTGTGATTCTAGCACATGAATGATGACACTCCTCATAGGCAGCGGAACATTACGCGTTCATCCGGCCCTGGCGGCCTTTCTAATTCTCAGAAAATGGGACCACGTAGACTCCTCTCTTGCCGTCAAAACACTCATCCGGCGGGGACAGGGTATGCTGGACGCTTGCCTCTGACTGAACCCTCCGGCGCATCCTGACCCGTCTCTCAGCACACAGCTCGTTCATGCAACTGAGGTGCATCCGAAAAGTTTCGAGTTCACGAGAACAGAACGGAGCCATGCTCATGACAAGGCGATCATCTCCGAGACGCGACTTTCACTGCCTGGCGATCACAGCGTCAGGGAACAGAGCACTAGAAGCACTTTCAACTTGCATGGGTGACACGTGTGCATCAAGATGGCGCGTCGCGGGATCTCGTTCAAGGGTGGTCGGCGCTAGACAATAATTTGACTACGATATTCGTTCCACAAAGTTCTAGTTCAGGAAAGTTCCGGGGGGTGGACTGGACAAGCCCCCTATATGACAAGCTGTTTAAGGGTGGTGATATCCCAGTAGCCCATTGCCATTGCAGGGCCTCGCTGCTATCCGGCAGACGCTCGTCACATGTCCGCGCGCGAATCAGAATCGGCAACGGCAACACAGCTCTCTCGTATGCGCGGGAGCTATCGACAGTAGGGCTCTCTGTACATCCCCCCGGGCTTTTCCGTACCTCGCTCGTCCGTGGTATGACTTTCCAAACATAGTTCCCATTTATTCCCCGCGTCTCCCCGCTAGGAG